GAAAGAGTGGTGGTGGAAGACCCTTTGTCCAGGGTTGGACACACACACACACACACACACACACGCTGCGAAAACAGATGTGAGAAGCATGAGACGAGTCAAATGAGAATCCGAATGACGCTAGAAGAACAAGAAAAGGAAGAAAACCGACGAAGCAAAAACGAGCATGATCGATACATAAACAAGAATTAACACAGAAACAACAGCGAAGATAAGCAAACCAAGAATAAAATGTTGCAAAAATGATCAAGACGAAAACATAATAATAGCGTTGTCACATGGTTTCACGTTCACACACACATACACACAGAGACACAGACACACCGACAAACAAAGAACATGTATAGGTCTGGCGCACCTACACCACCGGACACCACCTGCGGATACCTGTCGATATGCCTCCAGGACGGCCACACCCACCTTGAGGGACCGGACATCCTTCGGCACCCGTCGCCTGGTAATAGGCATCTTTCAAGGCTTGCAGCTCCTCGGTCCCAGGCGATGCGGTTTTCCCCGCGGTCCACCGGTCGTGCCTGCGTCGGCTGCGCGGGACGGTGAGGCACCGAGGTTGGAAACCACCATGTCGCTACCAACCCACCAATCCGATCCAAATGGACACGTTCAGGTGTCACGTTCTTCTCCCATTTTTCCCATCCCATCCGGGACCAAAATCACCGCAAGCAAACTGCGAGAAACTGCGGCAAACAGCCCAAAACCCCCTCACCCGGCCGTCGAACACTTTCATCGACCCCCCCACCACCCGCGCTGTTCCAGTCGGAACAGCGCTGGAGGTGTCACATCCTCGTCCAAGACCACCAGCACTTGCCCGGCAGTTTCATCCTTGGCAAACTTGGATCGCTCGGAGTCACGCGGTTTCATCGCTCGGAGTCGAACATCGGAGATCCTGTCCCTTCCGATTTCAGGCATGTTGAGGCTATAGATCTTGAGATATTTGGAGTGACAGTGAGGAAGTGTGAGCGAAAAATGGGTAATCCCCGTGTTCTTCGCATTGAGCCGTTGGAGTTTTGGTGCAACATGGCAAGTCCACTTGCCATTCTGGATATTTTGAACTGGGTGCACCGTGACTGACAAGCTTCTGTTCAGTCAGAATGTCTGAGCCTCTGGCCATGTCCCGATACAGCCATTCCGGCGGCTCCTCCTCTTTGGATAGGGGCCTCAGTTCCACATGTCTTCACCGTTGCATGCCTTAGTTCCAGTGGTTTGGAGGTCTCAGCAGCATCTGCAAAGAAATCTGCAGCATCTGCAGCATGTGGGAGGTCCCTTTTTGGAATCCTTTGTAGATTCAAGCTTTTGATCCTTTTTTCGTCCGTTTCCTCGTTCGGTTTCACCCGCCCTCAAAACCCATAGCAGGGTGCCTACTTCCAGCACTCCTTCTTTGTCTTCACCTCCGCTCCGATCCGTTGCACAGAGAAAAATGGAAGAAAATAAGAAAAGTACCGGGATCCCGCGCACCCCTCGCCAGTTGCGGAACATGGCCCAGTACCTCCGCGCTGGGCCGAAACACCCGAGGAGTTTCTCCGATCCGATGCGAAGGGGAAGTCCGTCCGAGGCCGAGAGGCCGATTCGAAGGTCACAAGTGGGTTGGCCGGTGAATTGGAAGAAGGTGTTTTTCATTGGGTGATGTATCTTAGCACCAGCGCTGTTTCACAGATATGAGATGTTGGAATGTGTTTCATTCCTTCAGGAGAAACTATTATGAAGAACCTCCCTTTCTTGTTTTTTTGGGGTCGCGAACCTCCCGCGCTCGGGGAAGTGGGAGATCCGGAGAACCCCCGGCGCCGGTGGAACTCCCGAGGTCCGGTGAGAGCTGGCAGAAGTGGTGGTGAACGGTGAGTCCGACGTGACCAGGCGCGAATCCCCCCCACCATGCGAGAAGCTCCGGGAAAAGGGCCTTGGTTTTTCAACCTCCGCTTCATTGAGAACATCGTGCCCCCCACATTCACACGGAGCACATGTATCACCCCACACCACATCGCCGTTGGCCGTTTGGAGGTCGTTAAAGCGCCGATCTCCGGGTCGGGCAACCGAGCCATGATGGTGCCTCATTTTCAGCTCCCATAAAAGATGATTCTAATGGTAGACTCTTGATCTATGCCTCAAAGCCCATGTGAAGAGATTTATCAGAGGTTCTTCAATCCCTTCATCCCAGAGTCTACATGTTTCCCTCCTCAACCCCGCTCCGCCTGGCCGGATGAATGATTTGATTCGCTGGATTGAAGACCACTGGGCCTGTAAAACCGATCGTCCCGTCTGCATCGGGCGAACCGGAATTCTCCGGGCCACATGCGTTTGGCTCTGAAGCTCGGCATGAAATGGGAGAGATGGGTTCACAGAGCTTGCATGTTAGACAACGAAAAACACCCTAACTCCCTCACTCCGGTCTTTTGATCATGGAAGCGAAGCGGTCGAACTCGAACGACCCGGCGTGTTTCTTTGGTGACCACGGAGATTCGCGTGCTGTTCCGGTGTTCCAACGACCTCGGTGCAGGACCTTCCTGGGGCTGGGGAGGGAGGAGAGAGGGCGGAGCGCCGAAGACCTCAACTGGGAACCAACGGTTGGTGGATAAGTTTCCACATCAAGTTCCACCTGCACATCTAAGCATGATGGAGATGTCCAACTGAGTGGTTCGTTCCACATGCAACCAGCAACCAGCACACCAGTGCTGGCAGTGCGTTCTAAAACAACTGTAACATGTGACCGCAGGAAGGCTGCCACGTCTTCTTTGATGCTTTCTGGCAAAACCTCCAAAAGGGAAACACAAACATCTCAACATATCTCAACATCTTCTCTCATGGAGTTCACCGACGCATTGAAGCCAAACCATTATACTGTGTCTTCCTTTTTCAAGGAGCTTCTCCAGCTTCACAATCCTCGCTGGAACCCTCCTTTTCCCCTCGATGTCTCGATCTCTCAATCTCCGAAAACGGCTTGGCTTAGCTCGAGGGGCAGAAGTCGGGGAGGAGCTCCAGGGTGGGCTCCCTCTTTCCACACTTCTGCACCACGAAGAGAGGCTCCAACTCACGCTTCACCTGAACAAAGATCTGGGAAGGAGCGCTCTCCTTCAGACGGAGCATTGATCTGAGCATTGAGATTGGTACATATTGGATCATATTCCAGCACCTTCATGTCGGGGTCACCTGGCTGAGAAGCCCCTACACTACCATCTGGGATCTCCAGACAGGACATCCCTTTGAAGGTCCAGGTTGGTACCCCAACATCAATCATTTCGAGGTTGGATCTTGTGGAGTCCAAAACCACGGAAGACTCGAGATCCCCATCTCCTTCCTTGCCACTCTTCTTCCTGGTTAGACCCATTTCATTTGTCGTCCTTTACATATTACATGATCCAAATCACCAATCACCATCTCTCAATCTCGCATCATCTCAGCGGCTCAAGGTCCTGTAAACCGGAACTCCCCCCACTTCTGCTTCTGTTTCTCCTTTTCTTCCTCCAGGTGGTCCAGATCGAACACCAAAAAAAAGGAACGAACACACCCCGAACACCTCGTATCACCTCGTCCACTGATCGAGCTCTTCAGCTCCCGAGCTCTTGAATATGCTCCTCTCCCCCCACTCACCGGGAACCAGACTGGACCCCCCGCCCGACACTACAGGATCGGACCCCACACCAGGCTGAAAAGACCGAACTAAACGCCCGTCGCAACTAAACGCAACACCGGCACCCAGCACACTGAGCCGTCCGAGCCCACTCTTCGCTGAGATTGCAGGTCATGACGCCGATGGCACTCTTGGCACCGCTGATGGCGCTCTCCTCCCCTGCCTGCGAAACAAAAGGAATGAAGGACGGAAGTCGACCGTGGCGGCACTCAGAAGCTCTGGATGCATCTGTGACCAAAGCAAAGAACAAAGGCTGAAAAAATTCAATCAAAAACTTTATATTGGGTCTATCCTATTGCCAGTAACAGTGGATGATGCTTAGTAAAGACCTTGTTCAAAAATAGCAATAATTGTTTACTGACTGTTACAGGTAATGGCACAAACCCAAGCTGTGTACGTTTACAGCATCATGATAGTTCTTGCAAGGAGTCGACATGATCCAAATCTGCCAACCAGACCGGGACCTCGTAGCCCGCGCGCGCGCGCGCGAACAGACGTGGTTGGCGCCTTCACCACCCGGCAGAGCCAGGGGATGTTGCGGAGGGCGAAGAAGCCTCGAAGGGACCCGTCCCCTTTCGTCGGTGCGAAGGGCATCGGAAAAGGCATACGAAGGGCACATGAGTCCTAGGCTTCAGTTGGGATGTAAGCTGTATGTTTAATTAATGTCATTGATATATACATGATGTTTTGATGAGAGCTTCTCTATGATTGTGGTTATTTTGGAATGTCTGTTCTCTGTGATTCTGAAAAGTGGGAAAACTTTGCAAGAACATCCTTCTTGTTAGGAGAGGATTTGAAGAATCTCCACTTCATGACGTCATCCAAACTCATCTCTGAAACATCAAGCCGCCATGGCCACAGTCGAGGCCAGATGTCCCGTCGCCGCAACGGTGGTGCTGGTACTGGAGCTTTCAACCCCTCAATGCATCTAAGACCCAGCCCGGAACAGCACTGTCGACTCTGGAAACCCAGTCCCAACCGAAAAGCAAAATGCTTCTTCCTACTATGTCTCGCTTGAACCTCCACCATGTGTTCACTGGAGGGGAACTCCAAGCGCTCTTGGATCGGAAGGACCATCAGCTCACCCACTTCCATCATGCTCCGGCAGCTCATCAGCTCCCCACAGCAACCACCCCACACTGCCCACACCTCACCGGCTCCGCACGCCCCCACCGCCCCAGCTCGCTCCGCTCTCTCCAGGGCTCCCGGACGCACGTGGGGCCCGAAGATCCGTTGCGCCGAGACGTGCACCAGCCCTCTGCGTGGGACGTGCTCCGACTCGACTTGGTGGAAGGGGAACGTCTCAGAGGTGTCCAATTTGAAGGGGAACGTCTGAGTTTGAAGGTTTAGGGGCCACGTTTAGGGCCCAAGTCAGACAGAAAGACAAATAAAGACAGATTGAGACCCAGTTCTAAAGGGGATTTGGGACCCATCCAGCGAGTTGATACTGTGGTGAGACACCCCTATCCTGATTAAGCACCCCTTTTGGAACTTCTGGTATAACTGATTTGCGAGAACCTAGCTGCTAGCTGCTAGCTCATGGTTTCCCACAAAAAGCCGCTTCTTTCCACCCGTGCGGTACCTGACCCAGCAACAAAACATGCCAAAACCCTCAAATCCCTCAAAACCCGCGGAACCTCCTCGTCTTGTTTCCCACTTGGTGCAAACAAAACATCGGGTCCTTGTGCAAAGATGGTGCCAATACAGGTCCTTCGAGCATCGAAGTATGGTTGCAACTTCTCAAAGACCTCCTGGAGGACGGTGGCCCCGGCGAGGATGGAAGACGAGGTCGGTCGGGCGATGGAGGGCTGGGCTCACCTTGTTTTCACGTCCCAAAACGAGGAGGAAGACGAAGGGTGGACGTGGGTGGACGAGTCTGGAAAAGCTCCTAAGACCGAAGGCTCCAAAGAGTCTGAGTCCCCACGGTGAAGACACGGTGAGCCGGACAAAGCCATTCTGTAAAGCACGATGTGTCTGTCTCATGGCTATAAACCAAACCCTCAAGGAGATCTGAAGTCGATCCGGGCAGCCCTTGGGCCAAAGGCACCCACATCCCAGATTGCTCAAACCAAAACCCACACCATGCATGATCTTCGAGGCTAAATAGAACAGAGCCTGTCCGAAACCTGCAACGGTCAGTAGTGAAGAATGACTACACAACGTGATTTTCGAGATCATCTGCTCTGCAACTAGGCAAAATTAAATAAAGCAAACATTTGGATGACCTTTAGAGCTTTTGTGTCCTGCGCGGGTCCCAGAGTGGATCCCCACCCTGACAGAGAACCCATGTCACCAGGGTTTGGGTTGATGCTTTGGCTTTTTGTGCCAGCTGAATCTCTGTTCCCTGGACTATTGGATGCACTGATGACAATCACCATGCAGATCTAGAGCTAAACCCTGAATCAGATGAAGCTTCGTGCGAAAGGCTCCTTGCCTCCTTTCACTGATGTGTTTTGCTTGTTGTTCGCAGAGATTGTTTTTTGTAACACTCTTCATGGCTGCAGAGAATCAAAAAAATGGAACAGTGGAATCATGAAACCGCCACCGTGGTGCACCCAAAATCCTGTGGTTCCTTCCTTCGGTTCTCTCCAGGGACCGGATCTCGCTCCTTGGTGCTGGTGACGGGACCCGTCCACAGGACGATGTCCGAATTGGGGATGAGCCTCGGAGTGCCGGTGGGGCGCAAAGGCGAGAGGCGGCGGCTGGCCGCCGCGGCAGCGCGGCGGCTTGCGCAGCGGCTTGCGATAGGCTTCAATTTGTCGAGATCAGAGCTTCGGCCACTTGTGTCACCAAGAGAAGAACTGAATTATGTATCATATATCTATATTATATATATATATATATTAGATATATCATTCTTTTCTTACTTGAAATGACTTGAGACAATTGAATGACTTGAAAAGAGTCGCCCAAAAGTTCTCTACAAGTGAGTTCATGACCCACAAAAGCACCCATGCCCAATTGACCACGACTTCCCCTTGCCCCACAAGCGCACTGAATGTCCCAGAACCCATCCTTTCTGTCCAAGAAATGCGACGTTTGCAGGACTCTTTCACCAAGAAATACATAAATGTGCCATTTCTTACTAAGTTGTTTCATGAAAAAAGTCCTATATTGAAAATGCAATCTTCTCGCGAGTCTAGCAGAATAGACCGATGTCAAGCAGCTCTGCCGGATTTCTGGACACGCGATAGAGGAGACCCTCCTACAAGAGCAGGGGGGGCGCTTGCCCTGTCCCATACACCGGTGCCCTGTGGCCGACTGTTAAAGATATTGTTTAAAACTATGGCCGAAAAAGGAACCATGAGATTGAACACAAGAAAAAACTTGCATGTGTTTTAGAAGCATCTGCGAACGGGCTGAAGGCCCAACTGGCTGTGTTTCTGTTTTGGAATGTTGCTTGAAAGGAGCCAGTAACACACTTGACAGGCGATTGGGCGTTCGGTGGAGCCAGGAAAGTTTTGGGATGGAATCGAATTGACGGCACTTGACCTTCTTGGAGTTGAACAATGAAAGGCGATAGCACATGTGGCAAGCTCGCTTTTGGATTGTGGCATATTTTCTCAATAGAAATGAAGAATAGGTGATACTTGTCCAAAACAGTCCATCGAAGAGTAGGTGTAGGCTGCGACGTTGAATAAGCCTTGTTGCCAAATGGTGGTTCTGCCCAAGTGACTCACTTGCTCGTGGCAGGTTGCTTGCAACAGTGGCATCGATTTCTTGCACCACAAAGTGCTTCGTCTTGTATTCAATGGTGTTTGAACAGGAAAGCGGCCCAACTGATACCGCTTTGTGTATTTTTTATGCCTTTATCACATGAGTGCGTTCTCTCCCCCATCTGGGTGTGTTTGCTTAGTCTGCTTAGTCCCCGTCTGCTTGACCTAGATGAAGCTCCAAGTCTATTCATCCCCGAAAAGAAACAGAAAACGCGGCGGCGCTCCTGCATCTCGCCGTTGGGAAAGCGCACCTGCACTTAGCGCTCGTGCTCGAGCCGGCCATTGGGGTGGTGATTGAGCCGAAGTCATTCAACCCAAAAGTTTTGCCAAAAGGTTTGTTCAAAATCAACTATTCCCAAAAGGACCTGGGATAAGACTTGGTGAGCCACCATTCACGGGGCGGAACGAGACTCCGAACACGTCCATTCCTACTTGGTAGATGATGCAACTTCCAACTTTGCAACTCCCTTATGTTTATAGAATGATGGACACCACCCCGAATCCCCGAAGTATTGCAGATGGTATGGTAAGGGGCGCAAAAGTGGCTCTTTCTCAGGTCAGCTGAAGATCAATCCGGTCAGCTGAACACAACTTGAGCCGCTCGGAGTTCCACCCGTGGGGCCTATCCACAACACAGATTGCAGACCCTCATTCAGACTTGGTTTCTGCGCAATAAATCCGTCGTTTCTGCGCACCATCAAATAAAGTGAACTGAAACGAAGACAGAATGAATTATCCCAAAATGCCACTGAACATCAGGAAGCGATGATCGATCCCCCAACTTTCTTGCCCTGTTGGAGTGTACCTTCATAGGGGCTGCCAGCTGACCACCCTCCCTCCCACCCACCTCAAAATAATAAAGTTATTATTTTTAGGTGGGTGTACCCACCTGAGCATAGAATTATTATGGAGGTAATATAGTTCAGAAATAAAAAACCACACAGCATGATAAGATAGGGGGGGGGTGGTATAGACCACCCACCTAAGTGGGTAGATATATGGGGACAGCTCCTAGGAAAGTGTGCAGTAACAGCAATCGTAGGTGGTTCAAGCGCAACCACCTACAAAATAATAATCGCGCCCTCTTTTCTGCCATTCTCTCTCGGTTTCTCTGTGGTACCGTGAACATCTGTCCAGTCTTTTTGCCTTGATGGGGCAGCCGATCCGGGAGAATATATGGAAAATATTGAGGACAAGCAAGATCTCTGTCCAAGGCAGGTCAAACAATCGCCGTATTTCAGGGGTGGGGCTGGCCTAAGGGACCTCTGAAATAATTAGTAGATCGACTGATTGACTGGAATGTGTGGATAGCGTGATATGGTCCATAAAATTATTTCAGGGGTGGGGTACCCCCTAAACGACCTGTTAAATAATAATAAATAAGGTGGGGGGAATGTTGCCAGTATTTGCCACTTATTCCATGGAAAATATGGAAAAGGTTGAAAACATTGAGGAGTTTAGTAGAAGGAACCAGTAAGGGGGGCAAGGCTTACCCCACAGTGCTAAAAATTATTTGGAAACCATATATCAAAATAATACTTTGTTATTTTGCAACATGCCATACCATATTTTTTCTACATGGTAGATATTATTTTGACCCACCACCTACATGCCTTTCCAAATAATACTTTATTGATATTATTTCAAACAAATTATTTGGAGACGAGACGGTCACCTCAAAATAATTTCGCTCGGCAGGGGCTATGTACCTTCTTTCCTGGCTTGACCTACGGTCTGGTTACCGTATGATTGCATGATCCCAGACGCTCCAAACAGGCCTTGGTCCCTCAAAACCATAGGGATTGGTTCGGGTCCGGACCCCTCCAGAGGATTCGGCTCCGGCCCCTAGGACCAACGCCAGGGTCCCAGGGTCCACCGCGTCGTTGGTGCTACCGACCCCCTGGACCCCCCGGCTCCGCAGGAGTGGACACGGTCCGGTCCGACTGGTTGGTGCATGGAAGGAGGTGGGGCCCGGTCATCGGATGGCAAGCTGCAAGTGATGACCTTCCAAAAGCTGCAAGTGATGGCTGAACAAGAATGTGGTGGATTTGGTCATTTGCCCTGTACAGTACGGTTCGGCTCACAACTGCCACCCATCCAATACCACTCACCATCTATGGTTCCCTCCTTTTCAACACCACGATGTTTCCCGACCTTCGGTCGAAGGCTTTGGAAGAGCTCCGGTCGCGAGGTGAGCAACTGCACCTTCACCCGGCCTCTGGCTCAGACGGCTCAGACGCTCCGGCTCCGGGGTCCGGGGAGAGGGCCAGACCAAAGGGACCGAGTTCCGGGAAGGAAACCGGAGAAAAGCGCCCCCTTTCCAAGGCGCTGAGGTTTTTTCGCGCCGTGGTGTTCCGACACCACGGTGGCACCTATGGGATGCGGAAGGTTGAGTTGGGGTGTGACTACGGGCTTGCTATTGTTCTTCTTCTTCTTCTTCTTCTTCTTCTTCTTCTTCTTTTTACTTTTTTCGGGGAGCATCGGGTCGGATGGGAAAAGACAGAGGTGTTGCCGGATGAAGAAATGTGGAAGGATTTCGAGTCTGCAAACATGACATGCTCAGTGGAATCTTGCAACCCATCTATGCACGTGCTTGATCTACCAGAGAAGGTGTGTCAGAGGAAGAACAGAGGCGTTCCAGACCGACAACACCGAGCCATGCGCACCTTGGGTGTTGCCATCGATCAAAGCGGCACAGACATGGCCTCGAGGCGTCGGCGTCGCGGCGAGGCGTTGCGTCAGGCGTCTTGGAGGTGTCATGACAGGGAAACACCCCTCCTTTGACCCCCTGGAAGAAGGAAAATCGATCAAAACCATCCAGTTGACCCACACCTGTTATGAAACAGGCTGGTGTTTGAAACCACCCCAGGAAATCGTCTTTGGACCACCGGCAGACCACTGCACAGTGCTCCCGGCTGGCGCGTCCAGTGCTAGACTCGCTTCCCACTTTCTACAGGATCAGAAGTATACAAAATCGGAAAATGGATCTCACCCAGAACAGTAAGTGTTCTTGGCAGTTCTGTATGTTCAACAATCATCTGTATGTTTATGACCATGCATCATACTCCATGATCTGTTTATGACTCGTCAGAGTCAAAATGAAAACTGCAACTAACGTCTCCTTTTTTTTGCCGGCAACTTCACGCTCCCCTGAGAGGTTTTAAACCTCTTGGAACTTCATGGAAGTTCATCAGGCTGGAGAACGCCCCCAGACTCTTCTCCACACCTTCACCTTTTGTGAGGAGCATTCTTTTCAGGCCCTATTCTCCCATCCCGGTTCGACTTCTTGGTTTGACCAAGTCACCGCTGTTGCCAGCTGCAATGAGGGTCACCACGACCTCGCCCTTGCCTGTTATGACGAGGACGGAGCGGGCGCGGCGGAAGGTGAAAGTGACTGCACGGTGCGGTGCCTGGGGAGAGGGAATACACATTGACATTATTACACTGGACTAGACTTTTAATATACCAATAGGACTTCATAGGACATCGAGGTCTGGGTCACCAGCCAGATCCCTGCACGGCATGAATGCGATGGCGATGTTGTTAGAATTAGCCCAACATAGAATCAAACAGATGTTGAGGGGTTGTTAGATGGAAACCTCTGTTTCATTTTCACACCGAAGAATTCGGCTCTCAAGATGCTTTTCAGCCAGGGCGGCTCTCTACGAGGCTGGCTCACCATGCCACTGGCTGCTGGCAGAAAATGATGTGCCAACAATAGCTGAGCGCGGCAGGAACTTCCTGATGCTGGTGTTGAAAAAAGGAAATGGATCCAAACCAACCCCCGCACCTTGGCCTCGGCAAGGCTCCGGCGTCACATGGCTCGCCACTTTCTGTATGCGGCGCATGAGAAACGAAGAACCGACGTCGTTGTGGTCGCGGCGGCAGCGGTTGGCGTCGTTCTCTCGATCGAGATGCGGGAGGCTTCGATCTGCGACGGTCTTCTGAGCCGTTTAGACGACCTCCCCCTCTTAGTCTTCATGGAACTCTGAGTCTGATCTGGTTCCGGGAAAGATCGTGAGCCAAAGCAAGTGACTTCTAGACTATCGCTCGTGATTGGTTGGATGCAAGCCTTCTTTCCAAGGTCATTCCTCAGACCAATGATCTTCTGCTGGCCCAATGTAAGCCTTCCTGCTTCTCAGGGTTTCTACATTGTTGCAAAAGAGTTCCTCATCTTCAAGCGTGGCGCCGCGCATTACTTGAGCAGCTTCTGCTTGCGGCATCTCCGATCATCTTTCAAGCACTTACTAATGGCTGCCCATCCAGTCAGTGTGCTCCATCCTTGTCTAAACTGCACCGGCAAACACGTTCGAGGACGCCTTGCTTTTGACCTGTACCAGAAGGATTGCTTTTCACAGAGCAAGAAACCTTCGTTCTACTCAGGCTCATATTCAAACATATTCAAGCCAGTTTAGTCGAAGTTGAAACTATTCTGGTGCATATAGTCTTTTTGCAGCATCTCGTCAGAAACCGTCGAGCTTTACCAACCAGATCGCTACCCTGCTTGCGCCTGATGTGAGGATGTTTACAAAAAGCCTCGAGGATAAAAAAAAATGGTGAATAATCCTGTGCTTGCATATGGACACTATGACTTTGCCCAGCAACCTCTCCTGATTGGGAAACTACTGGAAATCGCTGAATTTTTGGTTGGCAGGTACGGGCAGGTTTTTCCACGTATCCCAAATGTGTGCTGAGAGGGGGTGACATTTCTGCAAGAAGACCTGCCGACACAACAACAAATCGATGCAAATCGTCCCAAGTGTTCTCTACATGTTCTTCCCTGTTGTGTGCACCCGTAGTTCTTGGTTCTCAACCCGTATCCGAATGCACCCACACAATCCAATGGAAACAAAACTCTTCTGACCGTTCTCTAAACTCTTTGCTTTGCCAAAATCAATCATATGCACCGTCGAAGAGCACGTATAGGATAAGCTCGACAACACAAGCTCAGCTGACGGTAAGACCTCCGACTTCCAACCGACTGTGGACCGACGTCGCACTGTTTTGCTCCGCAGATCGTCCCCGATCTGGATACCCCGCGGTGTGGCACTCGGAGGCAGGGCATGGTGGCAACAGGACTCTGCCGTAGCCCAAATCGTCAACAAACAAAAAAGATTATCTCAGTCGTCATGACTCATGACATCATGCAAAAATGGAAGGCAAAAAGAGAGGAACCCTCCCACGTGAAATCAAGAAATGTCATCATGAATCATTACTACCCATATGCAAGTCACCAAACACTTCTCATGAAGGCCAATCATGCACGTCGGCTCCCTTCAGCTCTCCATCCAATGACGTGTCCAAGCACCGTGCCCGCATCCAAAGCCGACAGTGGCCAAGAGACCAAAGCCCAAGACAGCTGGGAACTGGGTCACAAGAAACATGGAAAGGATAAAAGTAAAATGACATAGACATGCATTGCTCAAGGGCGGATGCAAACTTTTCGGAAACGTTTGGAAAATCTGAGGAAAGCCTTCTTCCTGCCATTTTTACCAGCTCCTCGACCCACGGAACAGGATGACGCACGCGTTATGCGGGTGCTGAGCGCTTTGGGTTACTGGAGGCACGCTAAGCTTACGGGCTTTGACCACAACGCAAAGAAATGTTTAAGAAACACAAACACATACGATGTATCGGCAGATCGCCTGAATGTATTGTAACTTGTCATACCACCTGGGCAAAGCACAATAACTCGGTGTGATCCTGTTTTACCCACAATCACGCTTGCTCGTTCTAGTTGGGCACTGACAATGCTTCCCAACCTCCTGATTCTTGATCGTTCTATCCCAAATACCATCCATGGTAGCCTGATCTGGTGCTCTCAAGCTTTCGAGGCCTTCAATCCAGGTTCACACTGAAGCAAACAACCAGGCCCCAGCCAAAGTGGAGGTCCACCCCACACTTGGGCTACAATGCGGCACTGCCTGAGCCCGAGAAAAAAACATCTGCGCGCGACCGGTTCAGTCTTCCATCTCGCTCGCCTCCGCAACCAAAAGGGCACTCCAAGAGCCATCCGATGCGGGATGTGCTCCGACCACAGGACTTTGGCACTAGCTTGGAAGAGGTCATTGGGTAATGCCAAGCACGATGTAGTGCCCAGTAGTCCACCAGTGCACCACTGAAAACGTCTCTCTGCAACCCCCCCTACTTGGATCAATCTTGGATCAATCAGTTTCCCGTGTACCAATTTGGATCAATCAAAAGTAGCACCTGGCACCTGGCACTGGCAACTCCCCTCACCGAGGCCACTTCCCCCCCCACGCCGCGCAGATCGCTCTGGCCAGCTCTGGCCACTCGATCGAGGACGGGGCCTCATCATCGTCCTCATCCTTGTCGGCCTCACCTCATGTCGGAGGCCGACACAGGGGACTCTTCCGAGAGATCAAAGCAATTTCACTGAGAACTGGAGAGAGTTCTGAGGCTGGAGAAAAAGCAAGGCCCCTCGTGGTGGAGATCCCTCTCTGCCAGAAAAAGAGATCATGAAAAAAGGACCGGTGCCATGTTCGGAGGTTCTTCCGATTTGAAGCTAGTGTGACGAAGCACTGGCGAGGGTACTAGGAGGATCTTCCTTTCTCTCTTTCTCTTACTCTCTCTCTTCTTTTTCGCTTTTTCTGCGGCTGGGGGTGGTGGCAACACTGGGGAACATGGCAATTTCATACCATTTCAACCGGTCCGCGGTCTCCAAACGGTCCATCTGCACAGAACCGACACGATCTGTCCAAGAAGGTGCATCCGGCCCAAAGATCCCAGTGCGTCCGAACAACGGCGAACCAAACACGCGGTGATCGAACAACCAATGGAACTCACGGTCGAACAACCAATTGTTTGTTGCAAACTGCTGTCAGCCCGGCAGCTACTGTGATCGGCGCCAGGCAAAAAATGTTGCTTCCAGTCACTGCCGGATGAACGTCTCATCCGCACCGCACGTCCCCCCATCGCAGCCATCCGCATGGGCCAGGGCACCGTCACACGGCATCTCGCCCTGTGCCAGTCGCCTGTGCAGCTCAGAAGAATGGAAATTCGGCAAATACCATGCAAGTAAGAGATTTGTTTGGTGTAGCCATACCACATGCCCATGAAACATAGGACCGTCCCCCAAATCCAGTGCTAGAATACGCCAGGATTTGAAAAGGTCAGGATGAAACTGCCTTTGACAAAGAGTCAGACAAATTCCGCCTGCACCTGGGTCTCAGCTTTTTGATGTCATGACATTCTTGAAACTTCTCTCTAACCCTTCATTACTCCATAGATCTCCATAGTGGGACATATCATGTTTTTTCTTTGATTCTGCCTGTACTCTGACAGAATCTATCGGATGATTTCTCACTCAGTCTGCCTCAAGAGTGGGTCCTTGGCCACCAACGCATACACGGTGCTGCCATCATGACCTTGCCTCGTCGGTGGCAAGGTCCAGCTCGGACCAGTGAGGGAGCTTTTGAGCTGTCGGTTTATGGTTGGCATTTGACGGTTCAAGAGAAGACTACCAACTGAGGCCATCTGAGGATCAATCCAACTGGTGACTATTGACTAGTGGCTGCTAGCGTTCCAGTAGAGTAAAGCTGTCAAGAAAGGACTCAATTCAAAGGAGCGCCGCGAACCCAAGCAAAATCACCCAAAACTGAATCAGCAAAAAGGAAGTTTCCCTCACCTCTGCACTACGATGTCGTGATCAGTCAGCTCGTTCAGCAACCGCCTCGTCAGCCACGTTGCGCAGGACCCTGGGGCTTTCATTCTGCGACTCGACCAGGAGACTGTACCCACAATAGATCGTGATCCCCTCCATAGATCGTAGCACGCTTTCCAATACATTCGTGAAAAACCATCTACCATCTACTCTTCGAAGTAAGTTGGGAGTGTGTCATGTACACTACCATTATCACTACATGAGGGCTGAACCCTCGACCAACGGACCGGATCTTCCACTTGCCAGGAGCCTCCGGCCTCCACCGTGGTCCGATTCGCTGGCTGACGTCCCCCGCAAAGAAACAGAGAACACACACACATGAGAATTCCAACCACCATGGATTTAATAGCCTCTACCGAACCACGTGTTTTTGTCTTTTGTTTCGAAGGATTTGACACGACAAAACCAGATCAAACAATTTGTTATCAATAGTCTTTCAAAGCTAGGGCACACATATCTCCACCGCAACCTCGCAATTCGAGAAATAATGCCAGCCAGCCAGGAAGGATCTTGGCCTCAACTTCGTCAAGTTGTTGGCGATCATGCGATCTTCTGCCACCACCAAAAGGTCTGGCATGGAGATCCCTTCCTTCCGACCTCACAAAACGAACACCGAAAACGCCAAATTGTCGCTCAACGGCACATGCCAGATCGGTGAAAGGGTGGGATTTGACATCGACCAGCAATGCACTTGGGATCTAAAAGCTTTGCCTGCAAAATGGCCCTGCATGGCCCTGCAAAATGGGCCTGCTATTGCTTCCTTTAGGACCAAGAAAGCTTCCGCCATTCTGAACATGTGGAGAAAACTTGAGAAAACCCAGCCTTCCAGCTGGTTCTTGGCCATGACCTGGAAGCACAACCATGGTGACCGTCATCCGCGTCATCCATCGGTTCCGTGATCGGTCCGTCCCGGTACGGTGCCTTCGAAACCGTCCCAGCGATCTCAGATCCCTGAAATGGTTGGTTCAAGTGGTGTCAGAATAAATGGTTCAGAAGCCGGGAATGTCCAAATTATTCAGAATAAATGGTTGGTTCATGTGGTGAGAAACGATGCACACCTCAGCTTCTGTGATTTCCCATTGTCCTCCGCCCCGGTCCAAGTGAAGCAAGGGCTTTGCAACATCAAATCCCGCGAGTCAGTCAACCCCTTCGCGGACCTCCACCAATTCGCGGTGATTGCTGGTGAGGCTCTTTAGCACTAAGCCCATACTCACCTGCAGCAAGTGCGGGCAAAGTCAGCGAAAGTCTGACAAAGTGCAGACTAGCTGACTAGCAGCTCTCTGGAAACAAAGAGGTTCGATCCCATCCGCTCCCTCTGCGAGAGGGACGACCCGCGAGTCAACGAGCTGTGACGACCAGACCGGCGGTGGTCGACCGTCACAGAAGAATGAAAGTCCCAAACCAGAACCACCGCTGACAACACAACTTTAGTTAACAAAAAAGTTGATGTAAAAAAAAAGGAACATCATCATGTTTGAGTGAAGGATCCTCCATATTCGTCAATAATATGTCCATCCTTCCCGTCTCTCTCATCTTCTAAAGGAAAACGTCCTTACCTTGGAGGAGACTTCCACCGTGAAGGGATCGCTCCAACTGGGCCTTGCGCGCACTGGCCGGATTTCAAGCCGGTGTGCACGCCGTGCAGTGGAACTCCACTGTCTTTCCATTGAAGAACTCCCTTTGAGACTCCAAAACCCGGGGGACATCTGGACATTTTCCTCTACACTCCCAACCTGAGAATGGCAACCTGAGTCAGACTGTTTGCCTCGAACGCTGCACCAGTGGTTTTCAGGGGCCATGTGAGTAGGCAGAGGAATCGTCTTCGTGCATCGCTTGCTCGTACGGAAACTGCACAAACCCCCAAACGGAAAGGAAAAAGCAGACCTGAAGCCGATCGCAAAAATTGGACTCTCCAATCACCACCCGCTCTCAACCACCTTACTCTCCACACACAATCCCCACCACGGATGTTGTTTTCACCCCGCATAGGGTTCCCGGACGGATGCTCCGGATATTTGCCTTTGAGTTCAATCTCATAACCTCAACGGTTTCGATCGACCCGACCGAAGTGTCAATTCGCTCGGCTCCAAACGGGGCTGGGAGCTGCGAAAGGGGAGCTGCTCCCAGTTCCTCTGCAGCAACGGACAGCTGCTCAGCAGATGCAGACAGGTGTTGGGGTCGGAGGGATCTGGAATTCGGTGCACCATGTTCCGAAGAAAAGCTCAAGACCATCCTCACCCAGAAAACAGAAAGTAAAACTTATCCCAGTGAAGGAAATATGGTGGGAGGAAACCAAATAAGGACCCCCCAAATCGGATTCCTTTTCCTCAGGGTCACCAAACCACCTACCCCTTCAGCTTCAATCCTCAGAAAAACCTCCGTCCAGCAAGTCCATCTCATGCTTTTGGAATCGCTTTGCCCTTTGCCCAAGCTCCGTACCCTCCATGGTGTGGACCTCCTCCCGGCTGAAGTTGAAGTCCTCCCCCGCTCGGATCTCCGGACGGTGAGGAGCGGGTCGCCACGTGGCGTTTGGCGGGTTCAGCGGGTTCAGCGGGGGTTAGGAGACCTGTTGGGAGACGCTGAACCGGTCGGTCGGAAAGCGCGACGTGTGAACAAGTTGGATCTGATGATGCGATGATGAGAAGATGATGCGAAAAAAACAAGGGATGCTCACCCAAATCTGGACCTGATAAGACCGAACATGCCACGGGTGGCCGTGTTCTGCCGAGCCCAACAGAGGGTTCCCGTTGATGCACCTGAAGTGGCAAAGCACGCGGCTTAAAATCGAATCATGCGCCACAGGACTCGCTGGTTTTGGTGTCTCGGGCACCAGGTTTTAGCATCAAAAAGCTGTCCTTCAGCATGTCGCTGCTCCAAGCCACCGCCGCCCACAAATGATCAACCTCATGTTGAGCTTTGATGCCGAGGGACCCTCACCTAGGTCCCTAATTGTCCAGATGTCCCTTCGCGCGTGAGTATGCCCCTTTTTGATTGAGCCATAGCCTGTATTGTGTTGAATCAACATGTTCATGTGACACCCGATGTGTTGTTTCATAGAGAAGGGATGCAGATTCACAATAGACAAACATCACATATCCAACAAATGGTCCGCATGCCAGTTGATTTCTGCTCCCCAAGCGAAATCAACTGTGTGGAACCATTGATTCGTAGACATGTGGTGAAAAATGGTCCATTGGGCTCCACCTTGTTTGTTGGGCAGGTGATGTTCCGTTGGGCAGGTCACACCCGATCTTCGAACGGTCCGAACGCCTCAAACCGTTCACACCGATCCACGACGTGGAACGTGGCCTGGAAGTCACGACGGTCAACGCCATTCCGACGCGAATGACGGACACTTCGGAGCGACGCAATGAGTTTCTTCACTCAGTGAAGCACCGAAGGAACTCAGTGAGGCACTTCTTCGGTCTGCGTATACCCTGAAAAGCTTCCATGGCACCGTTTCACTCTGTGTGCGTGTTTGCCTACCTGTGGATGTACTGTATGTACTGATGTACCTTGCGACACCTGCCTCCGCGTCACCGCCCCCGTGGCGAAAACGAAAAAAAAAGAAGAAAAGCCACTGACCTCACTGGTTGATCCGCGGGAGGGGGGGAGCAGAGCACCGAAAAACATGAAGCGAAAATGGCTGTCTCCCCCAGGTTCCAGACGTCTTTCATCCACATCACCGGCCGCCTGACCCCCTCCGTCGAGACAGGGAAGCGGCCAAAAGCACACAGGCCCCTTTGGGACCGAAGGGATACAAACCCTGGGAGTCGGTCAGACTATAAAAAGAATGGTCTGACGAACGGGGACCTGAGTACGGGAACTTCCTGAACACTTCAGCCGGTCAAAATATAGGACTTCCAGGGCAAACGGTTTTCCGCCGGCCGCAGGAAGGGGCACACTCAAACCCACAGCAGTCGGGTCTGGAAGACCCTGGATTCGATGGGGAGTCCTGTCTTGGTCACAGGCCAGGTAAGCGGCTTCCAATGGGAGATGACCCCAGAGATGAACCCTTTTATATACACTTCCAAAGCATGGACCGCAGACCCCTCGCTCCGAGCAAGTGAGTCAACAGCCTTGAACAGCCTCCAAGAACTGGAGACTGATACCACGCTTCCGAGCCAGCTAGGCTCCCGAGCCAGCAGGTGGGTGGGGACAGATTCTCCGGCATTCTCCACTCAACATCCGGGTGTGGGTCGGACCTGCCCCCAGGCCCGTGACTGACCAGGTCTCCTGGCCGAGGCCACCAACCAGACCTTCGGGTCTGTGGCCAACCAGCCCAGCGCGGCTTGCTGCTGCGGCGGCAGGGCCTGGAGTCGCAGTCGCTTGGAGAACGAGGCGAAAGCCCTATTGAGTGAGGCCACCTCCCCGGACACGTTTGGCCATGTCCCCGGACACGTTTGGCCATTGTCCGGAACACGTGTCCATGTTCCTGGCACATGTTCCATGTTCTGCACAGTTGGCCACTTTCTGGACACTTTTTGAAATCCCGGAGCACATCCAAGTTCAGGTGTGAGGTGAGTCTTGCAAGTGCCTTCGAGTGTCTTCGCTGCCAGGAAAGGCTTACATTCTTCGTCAGGTTCTAGGCTACTTTGTTCAGAGGGCAGATTGGCATGCTGGCAGAACGTGTGTGTTTTGATTGGCATGTCTTGCTCTCAGCTGCAATAGCGACAAAAATTACATAAGACACTTGGACAGCTGAAGGCTTTGGGTGAAGGATCATCTGACGCCAACCATCGAAATGGCGAGCAGCACGACCTGGCCATTTTGGCACATCGACCGAACAACATCATCATCGCCTCAAGGTTGTGCACCACCAACACCAGCACCGTGTCACGGGCCTCGTTGCAGAAAAGGAGCAAAAACAACACCAAGCGTTTTTTCACCGTTCTATAGGGTGAATTGAGAAGAACGGGGGTTTGGGGGGAAAACTTGGCCAATATGCTAAAAACAAGAATTGATCCAACACAAGCACTGGTTTGAAAACAGGGCGACCGAGAAAAACCCTCAGCCAAAAGCTGAAAGGCTGAAGGGCTAAACGGCTCAAGGGTGTTTCAACACCAAGTGACATTGGCAGCTTAATGTCGCAATCTATCTTGCACAATCTGTGAACGAATCTATCTGTGCGCCTGATCTATCTATCTTGGCACAATCTATCTATCTTAGTGGCGCAAATCTCAAATCTGTTGTTTCAAACACTGTGAAGGACCAGGTGTGTCGCTGCACAGACCGCTCTCTCCAAGTAAACTCGCACTCGCTGCACCCGTCGCAGACAGAGCTTCCGAGGCCCCAACCGCCAACACAGCGGCCACGAGAGCTTCCAAGGAGCCGACGCCTGGACACCGAGGCGGCGAAGGCAGCGAAGACGTGGACCGAAGTGGTGAAGTGAAGCGGTTCCTCCTTGAATGAACCACCTCACTGGCAAACGATGTCGGAGCTGTGGATTGAAAGAGCTGTGGATTTGATGGGTAGAATTCTCTCCGTGTCGATTCACGCCACTCTATCGATCTTGAAAGAGCTGTATAGAGTGAGGCAAACGTTGCCTTGTGTGAAGCTCTCACGCACCATGTGGAGGGTTCTTTGGACACCATGGGCCCGCTCCCCACCATCGAGCAAAACCGCCACATCTTCGGTTCAATTCTTCCTTTTGTGACATGTCGAACATACAAACAAAACCCAAAACAGCACCGTTGGTACACATACATCTGCCCAAAACAGTCCGGTTGGACTCACTTCCAGCCACCAAAGGAATTTCTTACGTTTCTGTTGTCCAACCTCGGTGTTGCCCACCATGGGCCAGTAGCTGCCGCAGGAATCCAGGCACAGAGGCATGGGCGTCGAAACCATCCAAGCAGCAAACGTCCACCGGCAGGTGACGCAGTTCCTGGAGGATGAACTTTACATGGGGGAAAAAAACCTATGGGGAACTGTGGTTGCTTTCCTATGAAGCAGTTGCAACCTTCGGTAAAAACCTGGGGCCATGGCCAACCTGGTGACAGCCTGTAGACAGAATACACCTGTAAGAGCTCCTTTTTGGTTGGCGGCTGAGCGTGAACTCAAACATGTTATGTACTGTATATGTGCATAATTTTGATAGCGCACAGGTGTTTACTGAAGCAAGACCACAAAGTTACATGAGCTGAAGCTAGGTACCTACTGAAATTATGTTCATCTGGTTGAAACTCAAATAAGCATAGTCCGTATGTTAGTGGCTTGGGAATCAAAACAATCCAGGCTTGGGGCACTCACGACTGCGGGGGAATTACGTAATCTAAATGGGTCACGCGTAACGAACACTCATTGAAAATGCTTTAGTGGCTCAATGATTCCAAAAACAAGCTATATTAAGTTAATTGAGGTACATATTCTGAAACCTTCCCCCAGACAGCGGTGAACATTGGAAGAGGCTTGGGGGGTGTGCCTGGGCACAGATGGAGGGACAACTTAGAAGAAGCTTAGGGCTCACGCTGGGCTAAAATGGGGGGAAACTTAGAAGAAGCGCCGGAGACTGTGCACAGGCCAAAATGTGTTGATGTGTTTTTCAAACTCCCTGCCACAGAAAAATCACATCATTCTGAGGCACCGACGTTGCCAGGGTCGCCGTACAGGACGCCCGAGATGGACCGCCAGAGCTGGATTTCCCACTCGCCCAGCAAGGCTCAAAAGTCACGCGCACTCTGACTCTCAACCGGCCAAATGTCATTCATATTAGCGGGCAGCCGGCCCATTCCCAATATGTTTGCTGCTATTTGGTCTTCTTTTTTGGTGCTTGGCGACCAAAGCGGCTTGCTGACGTAAGCCCGGCGGACAGCGCCGTTGTGCGAGAGAGCCTGAAACGCAAGCAGCATGCACACAAAGCAAAAAAATATCGTGCGCGCACGCCTGGCCGTGCGAATGCTTTTAGACAGCTCCAGGATGATGGAGAATGCCGGCAACGCGTAAACTTGAACCCCCGGCTTTCCCAAAACCATGAAAAATACAAAAAAGCACCAAAAACTGCAATACAACTTCTTTGCATGGTTCTACGTCCTAACTGGCCCTGCTTCCCAAAAAAGCATACTCAAATGAGGGCTACAATGCAAATAGGCAATTGAATTTTGAGTCGCGTTGCCCTTATGTGTTTTCAAGAAACTGTTTTTTCGCGAATTTGTTGTCGTTTTGCATTGTTGCAAAATAGAAGCAAAGGCAACCGGGCCGCGAAATCAGCAAGCACCCATTTTTGTGTAGCTGTGTTGTATTGGTTTCGCGGGTCGTTTTTTCATTTTCTTGCTGTTTTTTGGCGGGTCGTATTTTGGTATGTTTTCGTATGTGTGGTATTTTTGCCATTTTTGTGTATTTTTGTTTTTTGTACTTTTTGTATTTGTTTATATGTGTTGCGTTTTTTCGTGGGACATATTTGTTCGTACTCTTGTGTTTTTTGGTGGCTATGTTTCTTATTTTTGGTACTTTTGAAAATAGAAAAGAATGGTCTTAATGTTTGTGATTTTGAAAAATGCAATTTTTCAGCCTCGAGCTACCCGCGAAACGTGGTCATGCTACCCGCCAACCACGAGAGGCTGCTCCAAAAGACAAGGGGGCCAGCTTCCCATCTCACCCACATCAACGCGTGTCAAGTGGCAATTTCTGTGAGTATATATTGCTTACAGTTTTGCGTTGTTTATGTTGTATTTTTGAAAATACAAAAAGTCAAAAGTGTATTAAAAGATACAACTGGGGAATTTGCATTTTCCAGTCAAATTTTGTTTCTTTTATTTCTTTTACTCTTTTACCACTGATAGACTGTAGATGGAACCGGGGAACCAAGCATAAACCAACATCTGGGCGTGAACCACCCAAGAAACTTCAAGACAACCGACGGCAT